CAGGCTGGCCTCCTGCCTGCCTGCTTGGATGGCTGGCTGGCTGGTAGGCTGGCAGACTGGCGGAAGACTGGCTTATCTGTTGCTGCATTGGGCACGCATCACATATACGCCACGTTGCCACCACCTCCACCGTTGTTGCCGATGCCGTCCAATTGCCTCCTCATTTCCTGCCAACGAATTTCCGGCAGCCTCAAAAAGTTTCCTGCCAAAAAAAATATACAAGTACAAGTACAAGACCACGACGAAGGCCAAACGCACGTTCGCGTTCACGTTGATTGCACAAAGCCGACGGCATTTTACAAGAAACAAATTAACGTTGGGCAAAGAAAAGAAACGAAACGCAGTGGGCTTGTTTTTTGATTTTTTCTGATTTGTGCTGTGTGTGTGTTGTTGTTGTTCTGATCGACGATAAGATGCCTGTGGTTACACAAATAAAAAAAAGCTACTTAGGCTGTGTTTACACTCTTAAAGTCAACACACCACTTCTTTTATGGAATTCTAAAACAGCTCTAAGATACTAGCATACTTGTAGTGCTTACCAGTAATGTTCTCTGATAATATATCGTTTTAAGAACAGGTCTTCATAAAAAATTCGGCTTTATTTTCATGCTGGAACTCATTTTGACAGCAGAAACGGACACAGTTCACACACAGCAATTGACAGCGCTTCTGATCGCAGCCTTACAGGACTATTCTGCTATTGTGGGCCACTTTTGTGCGCGGTATGTTCCTCCATTCTGACCGTAGCTTTACATCGCATTCCTTCTTTTGTGCTTTTGGGTGCTGATTTATTTTGCTCACAGCACCCAAAAATGTTGCGCCGGATATTTATTTATTTGGGCCTTAAATTACAAAGCATTATCGATGCGCATTATAAATTCTGTTGAAAAGTGTCGAAGCCATAGCCGTTGGCCATAAAATATTTGCACACACGCGCTTGCGGTGGGAAGGGACGAAGGATGGTTGCAGAGACGCGGCGGCTGTCGTTGATATGTTGACGCTTGACTGGCCAGCAGGGCGTGCTCTTATCCTGCCTGCCAGGCAATTTCCTAATGACAACGACACTTGTAAAATCACTTTGAATAATATTGCATTTGTGTGTCTTTGAGCAGATTAATTTCCGGTATTTAGATTTAATTCCAGTCTCAAAATGCACAGCAAACGAACCGTCTGTCTGTCTGCCTGCCTGCCTGTCTGTCTGTAGAATGGGCGACCAATCGATGCAATCGGCTAAGGACCAATTTACCAACATGTCAGCAACAACAACGATGACAACGCCGACATTGAGCCAGGAGAAGGCGGAGAACGAAGAGGAAGAGGAGGAGCAGTAGGCGGCTGAAGCCCAAAGCCGACCAGCAACTAACAAGCGACAACAACTTGGTGAACAAGCAAGGCAGGACGAGGGAGGCACAGCTTTAGATTTGCACACATTACCACTCAATCTTCGGGCACACACAAACTACGAGTTGTAGGTGGGTGTAGTTGTGTGTAGTTGTGTGTGTGGGTATCTGTGTGGGATTGTGATATGCCCAGAGCCCAAGAGAGAGAGCAGCGTTCATGTCCACATAGCCGCAAAGATTTATTTACAATTGTGTTGAGACATAATTCCATTTGATCGATTGCGGGCTCTGTGAAGCACCAAGGCGTAGCTCACCATCAACATCAGCTTCAGCTTCAGTCTCAGTCTCAGTTTGCTTCAAACTGGAGTTGTGTGTGTGTGTGTGTGTGTGCACTTTACATTGCGGCCATTGCGGTCATCTGTAAGTGATGATTCTTTTGCCTACTCCCATGCCCTTTTGTGTAGCTGCAGTTTCTGTATTTGAAGGCACTTGGCCAGCACCGCCACCATATTTATTACAAATCCCCAGCACAGCACAGCACATATACGGAATTATTTGCGCAATTTATGTGGCTTTGATTTCTTTGCCAAGATCTACGACAATGTGCGCTGGGAATATGCATGCTGGCGATTTATTGATAGTTGATAATTTGTGTTCTAGGCGGGTGTGTGACTCCTACCAACTACATATTTGTATAGTACTATGTGCAAGGCATATGGTTGTCCACAATGCTGTGGAAGCAAATGGTAGAAGTTACGCCAAAGAAGATAACATCTGTTGGTGTTCGGTTCTGTTGTGTCTCATTACAATACTGTCAAGAGCAATGTGTATGAAAATAAAATAAAAAGCAATGTCTATAAGGAGCAATTAGGACCTTCATTTTGGCTAATTGTTCATTTGATTAAAAGACCCTATTTTATGTATAGATATGGATATTAACATTAATGTTAAGTCCACATTTTGGTATCTTGAAAAGGCATATACTTGTATGTAAAATAGTTGTAACTAAAGCATAAGAAGCCGCTGTAGGGAAAGGTGTTTGTGAACCTTTTCAAAAGATTTGCCTTGCAAATTTTGATCAACTAACAACACAACAACATTTGCGTCCATTCAGCTCATCAATTGAATTATAAATCATAATCTGAAATGTATAAGTACTCGTAAGTTGAATGTTTCAAGTAAATGACGAAAAGAGCGCACCTTCTTCTACAACAATATTAACCATAAATTGAATTTGCATAATACAATAATGAAGCTAGCGCCTTTCACCAGCAATGCCCACTTAAAGCATCACGAAGGCCGGCGAAGAACGGCTTTCAGAGGCTCACTCCTACATATACACACTCGTACGCATACTCGTATAAATCCTTAGAGTGCGCACTTAACTCCTTTTTACGCTAGGAAAAGTACATACATTTACTAATGACCAAGTCAAACAATGGTGCCAGCTTGGCGTCGTGGCGGCGCTGCTTGGCTGTTGGTTTCTGGAGATGGTTGGTGCTGGTCATGGCAGTGGAAATGGAAGTGGAAGTGGCAGTAAACTGAAGTAAAGTGGAAATAACAGCAAGCGGCGCACAGTGTGGCACGAATACGAACAACAAAGGGCAAAGGGACGACACACTTGGTAGTGTGTGTGTGTGTGTGTGTGTGGAATGTGGGGCCAGTGAAGTAGCAATTTGCGCGTTCAAGACGGCAACCGGCAGGCGGCAAGCGTAGAATTGTGGCACAGCGTCTTGCCGCCCGCCGGTGACAGCGAACAAAAGCGTGACAAAGCACGAAAACGAGCAGCAGAAGCGTCAGAGTACGAGTTGCAAGAAGGAGCAGCAGCTGCATCAGTAGAAGCAGCAGCAGCAGTAGCAGGAAAAGAAACTACATAGGCAGGGCGACGAGTGGAGCGAGCAGCTGCGGCAGCCGTCGCTTTGGCGTCAACTGTTGGCAGCATGTTAATTGCGCTGCAGCGACAGTGGGAGATGAAAGTGTCTTTAAATAGCGCAGCGCAGTGCACACACACACACGCACACACACATGCATGCAAAGGCACGTGAATGCGATTACATTCCATGTTGTGTTTAAATTAAAAACATAAACGCGGCAGCGGTGTAAAGTTCTGTGTGAAAAAAGTGTTGCATGCTTTCAGGCTGCAAATTAAATTCTAGTGCAGTTAAATGTTTATGAAGTAATTAGTTTAATATGCGATACACAGGAGTGCATATAAAAGTGCACCTATACACTTGTGTGTGTGTGTGTGTTGCAGAGAGTCGCTCCTGTCCCACAATTTCATGGGAAATTTTAATTGAAAATATGCGAAACTTTGTCAGCACACACAATGCACACATGTGAGCGCGCGCGTGAGTGAGTGTGTGTGTGTGTCGAGTTTCTGCAGCAGCCATTGGAAAGTTTCGCCGTTTATTAAATTTTATGTGAGCGACTAGCCTTTGTCTATGTGGCCCATAACAATTACTCACTTGTAATATTCAACAATTTTACAATGCACAGTTCAAGCGTTGTTACAAAGGAGGCTAACTGTCAATTTATTGCAAATATCCCAACCTTGCCCAACCAAGCACATGGCGGAAGCTGTCCTACATAGCCTGAGCCTGGTACAACTGACAAGGGGATGCTTTAAATATAATAATAATCTAAAGCGGCGTTCCGTTTAAGCGTAAATGTGAATTTGCTAACCAAATAGCAGATTTTGTACAAATAAGAGAGTGGAGAGGGAATGAGATTGAAACTAATACCTTTAAATTAGTAATTGAGTTAAACGTTTAATTTGCTCTGTCGCTTCCATAATCAAATGAAATATAAATCAATTATTGCTGATATGAATAAGTAACTTAATCCAAAAATTTCGCACAAGGAAAATAAACATAATTGAATTTAAATTAAAGTGTATGTGCGGAGTTGCCTAGCAATGTCATGGCAGAAAATTTTCAGTGATTAAAGTTTTACGTTTGATGCATGCGCCACAATAATAAAGAAAATAAATCTCTAGAAAGAGCTCATTTACATTTCAAAACTTGAAGTAATGCTGTCTAAATTTGAATAATTAAACCAAAACATAAAAGTGAGATTACCATGATTAAATATCAATATGGGCTGCTAAATCTGCTTAAGCTTATTAGCAATTTGATGACCGGAGTCCATTATTCGTAAGTTTTGTTAAATATTTGTGTTGCTCTTAAAAGTAAGCATTAAACAAGTATTGCAATATATTATTATGATTAAGGTTTGCTGCAAAAATGTCCATTTTATTTTATGATAAACAACTTGGAACTGTAGTTTTATTAAGGTGACGCCTGTTTCAGAAAACTTTTAGAGTTTGTTGATAAACTTGCATCACATAATAAATATGCAAAGGACACCATTAATATCAAGAAGAAAGTTGAGTGACAACGTTTTTTGTTAAGTAAATATAGTAAGTAGTATGTGGAATACCATAGATGGTATTTACTGTGACGAGACAGTATTTTCTTTAAAGATTTGGCCACCATTATATTGAAATTTCAGCTTTCTATTGGCATTGAATTCTGCTCCGATTCCTTTAAGCTTTGACAGAGTAAGTGAAGCACTTGAAAACCATTTCTACTTTTAAGGTGATTGAATTAGTCAATTAAAGAGATTCAACTTTGCCTATTCATTCATTTTGCTTTCAATGTTATTTTGTGTTTTATTTTCGTTCGTTATTAATTGTTTTTTTTTTGGTTCCTAAACTATTGTTTGGGGGTTTAAGTACGTGTTTGTTTGGCTAACAGGTAAGCGCCTGATGGACTCTTTACATCCACCATTTATCAAGCTGTTTATAGCATGAACTTGCTCGCGTATAACACCTACGAGGACTACTTAGATGCCTTTATTACCACTAATGATATACGTTACATGCGTAACTGGCCGATTAGCAGGCGCTTCGTCCAAAATGCGTGTGGACACAGCTGCATGGCTGGTCTGCTCATGCGCGAAGAGTTCGATGAGAAGCGTCGCCTTGCCGCCGAGGCTGCAGCTCCCCGGGGAATGCACGACAGCGATCTATTTGGCGTATATCTTACGAGCAGGGATCGGGTGCTGCATCAATTTGCCAAGCGCGAGATGATGTTGATTACCAAAAAGATATCGGTGGGTGTCGAAACCAGTTGTGTGTAAATGTGTATTGAAGTTAACTTTTCGTTCTAATGGCAGACCATTGTCTTTCTCATCATGCGCGCAAAGTCAGGCCTGGAGGTGTCCGGCTTTATAGACCTGGAACAGAGTCTGCGTGAGTCACGCATGAAGAAAAGCCACTGCTTTGACTGGAGAGCGATTTTCGAAGGCAAGGCAAAGCTGATGCCGCGCAGACGCGACATAAGCTATCGGGACTGGTATAAGAACGCCGTTTCCAACAATGGCAGCGACAACTTCAGTCCCGTGGAGGAGGGCGCTCACAGTCTGCTTGTGAAGCATCGTGGAGACCACAAGTTCATCTGCATCAATGCAGGCTGTGAGTGCCCCAACAGCCAGAATGCGCGGCGCTCAATGTACAATTCGCGCATCTACGGACAGGTTATATTCTTCGATCATTATATCAGACGCATCAATTAGGGCGGGATGAGCTGACAACAATAAAGCACACAAAAGAGCACTCGATTGGCATCAGAAGCTTCGAGGACATCATTGGCTTATGGCTGTCAATTGGTATTCGGCTTTGCAAGGCATTAAGTTGCCAGGTTGCTTTAATTGCGAGTGCGTTTGTGTAAAACTCAATCCAGCGAATATGTTGCTGTTATTTAATTTATGTGTGTGTGCGTGTGTACTTTTGTGGTCGCTGTATTGCTGTCACTGCCACACAGTGTCGCTCGATATTCTTGCTCCAATTCTCTTAGGGATGGCCTTGTGAAAATAGGGAAATGCTGTCACGCCTGCGATATCAGTATTGCGTTGCACTGTTTCATAAAACAGAAAGCATTTAATAGTAGATTTAACAATAGGGAGTTCGTTCTTTGATTACTTATTGATTTTCTACCACCCATTTATTATTCTGCGATGTGGTCTGAAAGCCTATCAGATATTTTCTCAGACCCTGCGCCGACTACAGACAAGCCAAATAAATTAAAGTCGACGGCGTTTGAAACCTTTAACAGTTCTGGCAACATTTACATACATATACGCGTATAACGTTTTATCGGTGTGTGTGAAAGGACCTTAAGGGCTTTTGAGACTTTATTCAAGTTAAATTACAAAATTGAAGCTGTTCGAGTTTACTTTCAATCCCAATATTACATTTTTAATACCACAGGCACAGGCTTTATATCAGTACAGATATATTTTTAAAATTATTTTTTAAAATTTACAAATAATGTATTTTATTGTATTTTTGTTTCACGTCGCACGTCCACCTCTCCGAACTCGCCGTCACTCTGTCTGTCGGCCTGGCCACTTTGAAACGAATTTGTCGTTGACAGTTTACGTAAATTGCTTTCCATATCTTATCATTTGCTGCTGCTGCTGCTGATGCTGCTGCTACTACAGTTATGCCTGCTGACGTTTTGATGGACATTTTGCCGGCAGCGTCCAGCCGTAGCCGGAAATTATTCGAGCCCTATTTGACGTACATTATACATATAAGCTGTTTACTTTAGAGCCGAGTGGTTATATAAATTCATTAACTGAGTTGCAGTCTTTCGTTCCAAGGTTTGTCAACTGTCTGCACTCCCAATTAAACTATATCCCTTTAATGTGTGCAGTTCGTGTGTGTGCGTGTGTGTTTGGGGGAGGTATGCCCATAGGCATTTATAGTTATGTTTGCGACCAACTATGTGTGAGTGAGTGCGGTTGTTGTTGCGGGAGTTTCAGTTCGGTGGTCATTTTCGATTGCCTTATCGGCCTATCTATTATGCATATTACGCATACGCCATGGTATCCATGGCCACTAAGTACCACTAAGTATCTTAATTGGCAGAAGTTCGGCTTAAGTAAGCGAACAGCAGCCAGCTTAGTGCAGTAGTCAGAGTTCCTTGCGTCCTTGGAATTGTTTGTATAAAGAAAATGCAAATAATTTTATATGCATATTAAGTTGACAAAAATAAAATTCATACTGTTGCTAGTTTAAACAACTAGTGATGTTAATTTGTTTCATAGAACAATTGCTAGGTGATTAAAGAAGTACAAGTATGTGTGTAAAACAAAGCAATTAAAAAGTAGTGAACAATTAATAGCAATACACTTGTTAAAGCTATCAAAGTATCAATGAATTTAATTAGTTCAACTTATACACTGACGTATGACAATTTTTAAAGCAATTTCTGATTTATTTAATGGTTGGTTAATGAGTAAAATATTTCGTGCTGCAGACTTCATAAAAAATCGATTTAATTGTTATTTGAAGCATTCATGCAGGCGTTAATCATTTCATTTTATTATTTATCATCATTTCAGATAATTTATTTATTCTTAATTTGGTTGTAAATACTTAGGAGAGTCTGCAGTCAACGAACATATGGTTTCAGTGTCTCAAGTAGTAGCATTTAAATGCACAGAGAAAGAGAAGCTCAGTTCTTAAGAATATATTTATTATATTTAAAAAAATACGTAGCTGGTAGTAGCGTATTTAATAGTGGGACTTGCTTTCTAACTGCCTGTTGCATAATTAAATAGAACCATTTTCATAAATAACAACTAAGTAAATAATTAACAAATTTTAATTATGATTTTAATGCCATTGGTTGTGCTGAAAATGAAATTAATTTGCATACGTAATTAGCTGCTAATTAATTCAGAAGGCAAACATCCAAACAATTGCTGGTCAGCAACTCCAACTGCCTCCAGCCATGGAGCCATACTTATTCAATTAGAATAAATATTAAAGCTGGTGCTAGCAGGTGCACAAATTTTGAATATCCTGCACACACACACACACACACACACACACACACACACACACACATTCAACAAATTATATGAAAGGGCAGATGCAAGTAAATATTTGCAAAATTTCTTGCTTGCATTCGAGTCGCATATTGCAATAAAACTGGCACTAAGTCCAGGGCTATCTGCATGCGAATATTTATTTTACTGCGCCCAAAGTCAATTTGTTGCTTGGGACAACAACAATAGCAACAGCAACAACAACAACTGTAGCAAGTTTAGTTATTATTATTATAGTTGGCCTCTCTTTCTCCAGCTGTGCATTGAAATTGCATTTTCTGCTTTCGAGAAACAAGCAACAATAAATTTCATCCGAACTGAACATGCAATTTATGGCCAGGATTTGCCGCCTACTTGACTATCTGGCACTGCCCGGCCACTTTCACTGACTTTGCCCAAGACGCCAGTCCCTGGCTGAACAGTTTGAATATATAAGATAGTAGGCATTATGATATTTGCCTGCAATCTCCCCTCTATGACAGTCTCTATGCTAATTTAATATGTTTTGATTAAAAACAACCAGTTCTGGTGACCAAGCCAAAACAATATCAAACACCACACAACACAATTTGTCAATTGAATGTCAATGGCAGCAATTTACCCCAACTTATAAAGAATTTGTAGACCATTACTATATATGTCTAATTATACTAATTTTAGCAAAGGCCTAAGAAGGCCTAATTGGAAGGCTTCGCATTTTGTGTGCTGTTATTACATTAACTTTTAAATAAATAATGATATATGTACATACTTGTATGTATGAATATATTTGACCAAACAACTAAAAACATGAATTTAGTCAATGATAATAATTGGGAGCTACAAATTTAATGAAAGAGCAATCAAGTAAAGTTTTCAAAATGATAAAAATTGGGACCATTTTAAAATTCTGAGCTTCCCAAGCCAGTTTTCAAACAAAAACTAATTATTAGTGCAATCAATCAACTAATTAATTTTTAATTTAATTAATTTTTTTATTTTTATAAATTAATGTAAGCGTCAAGTGCTTTTAAGAATCCTGTTTTTTATTAAAAAAAAAAAAGAAGTACAACAAAGATGATTTCATTTTCAAATTTCTTTCAATTTTATTACCTTGCAGTTGTTAAATTTAACAAAAAATATTTGTCTGAACTGCTCGCAAATATTTTCATTCTTAAGTATGAGTCTTATGACCAAAATGCGGACATAATCTTAATATATTTATTTATACCCATTAGTCCATTAATTAGCAGAGGGGCGACGCATTTTCTTTAGTTCTTTTTAAATCAATACAACGCAAATAAAACGTGCAGTCTAAAAGCATGCTGTGCTTAATCTTTATTGGTTTCCTTTTCACTAGAGGAATAGTTGGAGTGCGAACGTTTTGCAATTATTCCAAATAATCTGCATTTATATATGTATACTAAATGTATATTTGTATATAGAATATAGTACATATACTCTATTAATAAAAAATTGAGCAGAAAAACAGAATGTGCATTTAAAATAACAATTTCCATCCTCCGCACAAACGCTGCAGTTCAAAGCTTAAAAACATCGTTGGACAAATTGTTTGTGAATAATATATTCTTGGAATATGTGAAACAACTCTTTACGTGATCTGAATACCGAAGCGAGTTGAGTCTTATGCAGAAAAAAAAAAGAAAAAATGTGTTTGAGAGTGTTGTTGTTGGTGGTGTTATTATGGATATTTCGATTGTTATTTGGCAGACATGCAATTTACGTTGAAATTTCATTATTGGATTTTGTGCCTCGTTCGTTCAATCAGCTGTAAATAATATGGACAGTTGGCGAAGCTGAAGCTGAGGCTGAAACTGAAGTGTTTGCTCAATGTTTGCATTGTTAAATGCAATTCATGAATTATTGATAAATTCATATGAATGGCTGATTGGCAAGTGGCTGTTGTTGCTGTTTTTGTCATTGAAATGAATCGCAATTTAATTGTTTTGCGAGCTCTTGCCAAAATTTGTATGCAAATAATACTCTGTTCATGAATAATTAAAGTGCTTTGGATTATAATTGACTGCATAGCTGGCTGACTGAATGACACTCTCACTGACTAACTGACTAACTGACTGACTGACTGACTGACTGAGTGGCAGAGGAAATTGAAGGTCGTAGTTGACAAATTTCGGCTGCAAACGTTTTTATGGTTGTCTACGATTTGTGGAAGGACATTTGATTTACAGCTGCAGCCATAAGGCAGCGATAAGTCAGCGATCAGGTGGAAGAACGCCACTCTGGGACCGAGGGCCACTGTTAACGCTCATAATTTATGGCCCAAACCGAAACCGAACATATGCCGCTCATGTGTCGTTGTGCCAAGAATTATTTCTTATACTCGTACGGGCACAAAGGAGCTGTAAGCTGTCGCAAAATATGCCTAATAAATAATTTAAGCTCTCAAGATTGGCCGTTGCCAGCTGACGACGTGCCCAGACAGCATTCATCGCTCAGGGATCCCTCTCCCCTTTCCCCTTTCCCCCCCTCCTTTCTTCGCTGCTGGACGACGAAACCCTTTTAAGCCAAATAAACACATAAAGCGGCGCAATAAAAAGGACACAACGGCCAACAGACTCCGACCTCGCCAAATGTACAAATATGTGCGAGTATATGCCATAAAATGGCAACGGCAGAGCAAAGGGGCAGAGGCAGAGGCAGTGAGAGTGACAGTGGCACAGGCATGGGGCAGGCGCAGAAGGCATATTAAATTAAGCTGCATGCCACAAATGCTCAGCAGAAGGCAAAACGACTAGGCCAGACGCGTTGAGGGGTCGACTCACTCACAATCATAAAATGTGACCAATAATGAAAATAATGAAGGAATGAAATGAACGAAATGAATGAAA